GCGAACAATGTTCGTGATTACGAATCTCCTAACCCGACTCCTGATTAATCCTTATTGATATGAAAATGGATCAGGAGACGAATCGAAATTCTCGTAATGTGCCAAATTAGTGAGGATCGAGATAAGAAACATCTCGTATACTTTATCTCGGTGTGCCATGTGTTTGTGTTATGAATAATTCAGATAGATTAATACGTTAAGGTTATCGTTTAAAATACGCCAGTCAGAATATATCACAAGAATTAGGTCTTGGAAGACGACGCAATTTAGCGTAGATTACTAAGTCACACGCATGTCTGGTCTTCCAGTGTGGTCCTTTGAACGGAAGATTGTCATAAAACACACGCTATCTTGTACTTCGTCTGTAAATCACTACATTTCACAAGTACAAGTACAAATGTACTGGCTCTATCATTACGTTCAACAGATTTGGTCCTAGAATGACAAATTGCTATAGTGAAGTTGAAGTTCAGAACATGTTAGCATAGCAACATTGTTCTTGTCCAATTTTAAAAAATCAGAGAATTTACGTCTTTTGAATATGCGATGTGTAATTGCAATCTTGTTGTTGAATATTATTGAACTTCAAGACAGTTGTATTAGAAACAGTATAAATGTATGAAACGCATTGTTTCAAAGTTCCACGTGCGGTTTTTTTAATCACAGTTGTCTAGTCTCTAGTGCAAAACTATTTCATTTGATATTCTTTATAAATTCTTGAATTAATTTTATTCACTTTTAAAACCATTTTATATTTAACAATGACTTGAGAATTCATTTTGTTATTTTGCTTGGCCAGGTTGCACTGTTCTGTTACATATCATTCAACTACCTTCATGAATGTCCGTTTGTTTATGGCAGTAATGAAATATATTGCTGTATAACTGTACTATTTGTCCGAATCTTCGCATTTCCGTCGAAGGATATTACGTTATTAGTTTCACAAATCCATCATCATTTTATCTTTATCCTAAAACATATTTGGGAATGGTGTTGCATATATTGTGTCTTGTCTTTCTATACTTCTCATTTATTATCATATTTTCTTGGAATAAACCGACATCACCTTTTATTCAATTGAACTATTCATTTTTTATTTTCCTTAGTTTTTACTTCAATTGCATTCATATTGATGATGTTTTTTTATTTCGATAAAATATAACGTAGTTTACAACAGAGCAAGTAACAGAGAATTATGATTCTACATACATACATACATAACTTCACGCCTGTCTCCCATGGGGGTAGGCAGAGACTAAGGAACGCCAATTACTACGATTCTTACATACCTCTTTCGCTTTATGATTCTATCAACCTACAAATTAATGCTTTTTGATGTTCATAAATGGCGACGTCTAGACCAATAGAATCAATCGAGAAAAATAATAACCAGGAGAAGTTAAGGGCAAAAATAAGATGTATGAAGTGTATTATAGCAAATAGGTAGTTTATAAGATGTGTTGACGTCTTTATGGCAACTGATTGCACCCTTATCTCTATCTCGTGATACTTAGAATGCACGTGGTTGATAACCATAATTAATGCTAGTTTATTTAATCGTAATCGATATAATTAATTAAATAAAACAAGAAAAAGAATATAGCGATGCCGAATAGATTACCCGATTACGCTTATCGATGATTTCCGCGATTATTAGGAATTTATGATTGCAAAGGATTACATAATTTGTGAATATTTGTGCAATTCAGTAGATACATAAATATCTTTATTGTTACTCATCTTTTTTTTAATCCTTCAATGAAAATTCTGCCGTATTTCGTTGACATTTGGAATCAATTTCAATTTTAATCCTATTATAGCACCTTAACATTTACCCGCAACTTCATTGAGAAGCAAAGACAATATCTTTGACTCGGATGACCTCTAAGGGTGGGAGTGGGAGGGTCCATCCGACATGTATGTACGCAGTCTTGTGTGTGTGCGTTCTGTATCTGTGTGTAGTTGTGTAATGTACATTGATAAACCGCAAAACAGTACGTGTTAGAATGGAATTGTTTGGGTATGTATACATATATGTATGTATGTATGAACCTACTTATATATTAGCATAATATTTAGATAATATAATGTTCAACGTCACTCGGTTATATGATAATATACCATGTACCTAAGTACACGAGTTTTGTTTGTACTTTATTTTATTTGTCAGTGTACGCTTCTTGTCATAAAATGATTTATTATGAAAGGTTTTGATACGAGAAGAATGAGCACATGGGTTTTTAGCACGATTTACGGACTAAAGACGTAAGAAGATATCCGAAATTTTTAATTAAAATATGAAGTTAGATACTTAAATACCGAATTCTAATCAGTGTTTAATTGTTGAATGTATGAACATTTCTCAGTACGTAATTTTAAGAATTCGTTTTAGGATTACTAAATTAAAATTAAATTCTATAATCTCTCAAGAAAATTATATTCTAGTTATTTGAGACAGATGATATAATTTAAATAACCAGTCCAAAAGAAGCTGGTCTTAAGGATAGATTTCTAAGAACAAAAAATAAGAATGGACATTGGTCTGTTTTGAATTATAGTAGCTAACTGTTCCCTTCAATTATTATCAAATCTTTACAAGGACCTTAGGAACCCATAAAAATAAAAACAACATTTATGTCACGCTAATATAACCTCTATTTATAAACCCAAAGAGATCAGTCGACTTGACAACAAAGGTCCTAATATTTTAACCTGTTTTATTTATAATGGCTCCGAACCATGTCTTTGAAAATGTAGACCATTTTATACATAATCTTATTAGGTTTTATACTTCATAAAGGGGATATTTTTTAAGTGTGGGAGAGCCATGCTTCGGCACGAATGGGCCGGCTCGACCGGAGTGGTACCACGGCCTCAAAGAAAACCGACGTGAAGCAACGCTTGCGTTGTGTTTCATCGTGTGAGTAAGGTTACCGGAGGCCCAATTACCCAAATGTCCCCAATCCCCGAATCCCCAACGATTCTCAAACTCCTCATACCCAAAATGCCGGTAACGCACTTGTAACGCCTCTGGTGTTCCAAGTGTCCATGGGCGACGCCGATTGCTTACCATCAGGTGATCCGTTTGCACTTTTACCGGCTTATGCCATAAAAAAAACATTTCATAGCTGAACTACCATTTAGTGTAAGAAAGGGATTTGTTAGTTAAGCTTCGTGTGGGTCTAGAAAATTAATGTTTTCGTTCCAGGCTGTTGATTTATATCAAAGCGATAGGTTACAAACCAGTTAACTTGTTGAATAGGCCACAAGAAGATTGAAATTCTAGAAAAAGAGGGAATGATATAGAGGTGCGGTGTTTTTGGAAAACTGCATGAAATATTTGATTGATGAGGTGATTATTTTTTGTGATACAAACCTCATTGCAAATTCATATTTAATTCTATGACATTGGGGTCAAAATGTATTGCACAATAGTGAAGCAAACGCAAAAACATTCAAATCAGAATTTCGGAAAGGTGATACTGATATTTTCAAAGTCGCCTAATCCGGTTCGGTGACTGAATTAAAAATTCAAAAAGTAATTTATTGATTTCTACACACTGTCATTCGAATAACTGATTGCTATTACGATAAGTATATCATTATTAAATTACTCAAGGTTTTATGAAATTGAAACACTGTATTGTACTATGATAATCTACTCAATTATTTTTAAGTAGTTTTAATTGTTGTTTACGAAGGCTTACAAACTTTTTTATACTATTTGTTATGTCACAGAAACAAATGACAGATGGATTTTAAACGAAACACATTTTAATAAAGCGTTCTTTCGAGGAGTACAGAGCAGATTTTTAATATAGATAATTAATCATATGACAAGAAAAGCCCTGAAGAGAACAAAACTGCCATAGAACAAAATCAAATGATTGAAACAAGTAAACCAAGATAGAACTAAAGCGAAAATGTTGCGTGTGCGTATCTTTGTCCACAAATCGTAAAAGACGAAAGGGAAAAAGGGTTCCATTGATGCTCGTAAACATTGGATTTACAACTGTCACACAATCCATTAAAGAAAATGCTTCAAACCATTCTCTTTGACCCAGGACTGTTGCTATGGTCTTTACTTAGGTGAACAGTGAATTTGTGTGAACCCTAAGTAAAGCAAATTGGTAAACTCACATTACTTTAACTCATTACGTGTGTTATCTCGCTTGCCACATGGTACAAATACTGGCTTCTGTTTACAAAGGCTCTCGGACCCCCAAAAGGAACTTTAGACTCCTCAATTAAACAAGCATACATTGGCAATTTTAAATTAATCTTGTTTGCAAAGGACTCGAGTCAAAAACTAGTTGCTATAATTTTATTCTAAAAACCTGACTCAATAGACTATCAATGTTTATATGATTTTTATAACAAATATTAGTATACCCTTTAATTTATTTAATTATTTAAATGAACAAGAACAATTTATGAAAGCAACTTAACATACTGGGCAATAAAAACAAAACTCTGTTGAAGAATTGTGTTAAAAAGATAAACGTCGGCACAGTGTCAGTCTCGCTTGACCAAACAACTATGAATCATGTATCATTTGTGATAGAGGGGACGTAAGTGAACCAGAAGTAGAATCAAACTCGTCACATTCAGACCTTATTCCTTATCACGATTCTAATTAGAAATAATCCTTCGCTAGGGACTAAGTACGCGGCCAGTGCATGCAATAATGCATAAAGGCTCACGTAATAAATGCTTTATTATGTTTGTGCTATAATGCACGTACTGAACGCCAACACTATGGACTGATGTGTATGTTTGTGTGCACACATACTTGCACAACACATGTATGCGCGACGATATGAATATCGTTTGTTTTTTTTTTTCGAAAACTAATTTTTACGCCGTATCGGGTAATTAACAGCCACAGTTCAATATGAAACACACTGATCAATTAAATTAATAGGTCTTTTTACTTATTTCTATAGTTTAGAACAAATACAGCCAAGCTCATATCGTAAATCAACCGGGGTCATACTTACAGATAACGTTTCTCGGATACGACTGTTGGAGGTTAACAACAAAAATCCATCAACAAAAACACAAGAGACGTGATGCAGGCGTGCTGCATACACAGCGGACGTTAACCCGGCTCCGGCGGGCTGCGTTTCGAAAACTTCGCCGTCAAGCGTTTAGAGAATATTCAAAAATAGACCGACTGACTCGTATAAACACGCAACAATGATCGCTCGCACGTTTTACTTTACGACACGACTCGAAATTCGAAACGAAAGCGATCCGCGGCCATCGGATCCGTCCGGAATCGCTTTGAAAAGTTTCCAGTGCACAAAGTTATTGGGATCGCGAACTAGGGCTCTACGCGACAAGAGCGCGGCAGCCCCGTGGCGCTCAGAAGTGAACTGGCGCCGCCGACCGACCGCGCTCCGCCGTCCGCCGCGCCTCGCACCGACACAGGAACACCCACACCGACGCCGCACCACACACATACGCGGCCGCATCATAAACACAGTCTCACTACACGCACGCCTCACACACACTCAATCCGAAACTGATAAACAGTATAAAAACACAACATCACTCTGCAACTGCACATATAAACATTCCATGTTTTCCTGCTTTTGTGTGTTTGACACAGGAGCAGAAACATACGCTATCGAATAGAAATCATCTAGTAAACGCGACGGAAAGTCATTAGCGTGTGACTAATCTGAGCGACACCGACTCGGAAGATATAGCAACAGGTACCTACGTAAAACTAAAACAGGTTTTCACTGATGGTTGAATGGTGAATGTTTAGCAGAAACATGTGTATAATCGCACTGTGTGCAACGGAACATTGTGCACAAACGGAGCAGGAAAACACGGACAATAAACAGAGAGGTCGAATAGCGATTGACGAGACGCAACACGCACTCACTCTTTAACATACGAACAAGTACGTGAGCAGTGTGTCGTATAGAGACAGTTATCAACAGCAGACGCGATAGGAGACGAACACGGGGACTAATGAATGAAGTCCGGAGATGCTGCTGCATTCAACGATACGCAAGTGTTTAATCTGCGCGACGCAACGGTCCGTAGATACTTGCTCCATTGTACCGCACAACGAAACAAAGATACTTAGCAAAATAAACATACTCCAAATGCTAATAAACATTTCAAAATTATTTATTCAACGTTCGCCCGGACACTGGGTTAACTGCGTAATAATTACAACGATTCTGATAAGAACGATAACAGTGATCGTGATAACGATTTGAAGTTATTGTGTAACATTATTACTTGTTGTGACACCATTAAAAAATAAACAAATACAAACCTTTTGATTGATAATAACAATGCGCTGGGTGTGACAGATGTTAGTGATGTGTTGCATGATGATCGATATGCAGTAATATTTGTAATCAGAAATAATACTTACGGAAATAGAATCCCTCGTTTTGGTCGAATGTACGGAAATTACCTGGAACCAAGACACACGTTGAAAGACAAATATTGAAAGCATAATATCAAATTACTTTTGGCTAGTGAAATTTATAAATAATGGCTTTTATTTTAACAATGACCTAAACGTGTATTGTAATCCGAAACATGACATGGCGTGTAATTTCTACTTTCGAGAAACTTTTCCACGACAGCGTTTCATAAATTGTTTCCATCTTCAACTTGAGCGGAGCGGGGTCAATGTATGAGATGCCAATCTTCACTTCAATTGTGATCTTTATGTCTAGTTATTGTGGGTAAAACTAACTTGAAAATTTTAAAAGATACTCATGCATTACACTAATTTGGATATTATTATTAATGTTTAGGGTTGTTTTTTGTTTGGTTTACTATGCTTAGTTTAAAAGCTTTATACTATTTCTAGTAATCATCTGATTATCATTTTTCAGGTCAAAAATGATTAAACCCGGTGATCCTATTAAACCTCTTTTACTCCAAATCTTTAACACTACGAAAGTATCGAACAAATGCTCAATAAAGTCACAATTGTGTGTCGTAACTTGATCTTTGAAAGGATAATCATGTTCGTGTCAATTCTATCACTTCGTTTCCAAAATAGCTCGAAAACAATTGTAACATCGCCTATTATTTACAAAGTATTTTCTCGAAACGGTCCTATTTACGACGTCGCCTACAGAAACTCAATTTCAGCATTCGTGAAATTCTATTTGTGTTTCGACACACGTCTAGAGATAAAAAGAAATCTCTGGAAATTGATTTATCTGTATGTTATTCGTCATAATGTCACTTGCATTTCAATTTGTGCCGTAAAATTATTTGATTAGTGTGCTTATTTGATTATGAATCATTTCTTGAATATCATTTGAGAATTATTGTCTAACTTAGCATAAACATGCGTGGACATTCTCGCTGCTTGTCCCCTCGAGGGATGGGGAACGAGGGATTTTATTAATAGGGGACTAATTGGGTTCCTGTCACATTATATGTAGGTGCTTTTATCCCTGACTACGTAGGCAAGTGGGTGGTGCACAAGTAATAATGACAAAGGTGAACTGACAAAGGCATTATTAGGACTTGGGAGATGAGAAAAACGAGATTATTAGTATTGTCAGTCTATTAATGGTCTACTAATGAGTAACAGGAGTTTCTTTTTCATCGTTTCCAAAAATACAGAAGCATGTAAATAAATTACCACACTTGTTTAATGCACCTCGACAGCTTAATAGTTTGATAAGTCCTGTTTTACGCTCAATATTTTTTTCTCTAGGTATAAAATAGAATCTAACGAAACGTATAACCAAATTCCAGGATTACCAGGAACCTCAGTAGAATCATAAACATGATAGTGAAACCAAAAGTTTCCTCCGTACATCAGAAAACCGTATTTATGCAACTAAATAATTTATCAAGGAAAGAATTACTCCCTTTAACTTAAGTCTTTACTCCCTGAGCAGATTCCAATTTGAAAAAATCCATTTAATCCTTAGAATTAAATCTTGAGATCCTGATTAATCCTCGAATTTAATTCCAATGCAAACAGAAATTCCGAATGATAAAATAACTTTTCTCTCTACAACACCGCTGAAGACCGGGAGACTGTAGAATAAACGTACATCTAACGCATTTTATTCCTTATAGATATGAGCAAAAGTGTGCTTTTTCTTCGCCAGTAATGATATTTGTTTTAAGATTAGAACAATAGACAATAGAGGACAAGCCTTCTACTACTACTCCTTGAGTCCATCCCCAGACCGTATTATGAAAAAAATAAAAAAGAACGTCTAACAAACCTGCATATTTTCAACTTTGAATTTAGAATTCCAGCCCAAACGTATTGGAATGGGGCCCACCGTATTTATTAATTATTATGCTCACCAGATGGAGCTAGATGTGAGGTTCAGACTCACGTTCTTTGTTCAAAAGGGAATTAGTCACACCATTGGATGTTCCATATTATACAGATGCAATGATTGGACAAAAAAATCCTCTTTCTACATGGAAAGAATTCCTTCATGCTGAAAATCAGCGCCGTGGACATTGCGCCTTCATGCCCGAGCCACGGTATTGAGCTGAGCTGCAGCCTTTTCCGTATTCTTATTGTGTGTCATGACGTAATAAATGGTTTTTCTTTTCATTTTCTTTTTTTACATATGCGCCATCTATTGAGTAAAAAAAATACGGCAGTCTCTTTTGCAAAACAACTGTCAAACGAGGAGACTATAGCAAACTCTCTTTTTGTTGAGCTGGTGATGACTGATGCGGAGCCGCGGACTTAACGGGTTGCAGGGCGACGTGAAGAACAGGAGTAGGAACGGGGGGTTTTTAGTCAGTAAGTGTCTGACACTCTATCTCTCACTTCACCCACGGCAGGAAAAGGAGTCAGATGATTTTCCCGCCTTAAAAAAGCGCTATTGATGGAGACCTATACTTCAACATTTATTATATTAAATTAAATACACTTGAATACTTGACTGCCTCGTTGGCCGAGTGGTCGCAATCGCGACTGCCGGGCAAGAGGTCTCGGGTGGGCCAAAGTATTACTTGGGTTTAAAAAATTCTCAGTAGTAGCACGGAGTCTGAAATTGTGCCCACTGCCCGGTATATAGCAATAGGCTCACCCCCTATTACATGGGGCTCGTAACATAAATAGTGAAAAGTGGGTGTTATATTATACAGTGGTATAATGTGCACCTCTGTCTACCCCTTCGGGGATAAAAGGCGTGATGTTATGTTGTTACACTTGAATATTATCAGGAACCTTCTAAGTTAACTTCTTACTTTCCCTTTCGTCTGTTACTTTGTATCAACTATTCAATGTCACCGATAGCTGTAGTACTTGAAATGAATTTTAAGTAGTTCGAAGATTAATGAGTCAATTTTTTGCGCCACCTTCGTGTGAAGTCCTTTAGTTATTGTTCGATGTCCATATTCTGTTTTTATGATTATGTAAGTTAGCCACGTTCACTAGTTTATTATCTTACGAGTGTAGTCTTAAGAACAATGGAACAACATTTAATTATTTTTTCTGCAACTCTGAGACAAATTATTATCCTTGTTACAGTTTATTTATTACGAAACGTTTATTTATTACGAAAATACGAAATCTTTACTTCTCTGATGATCCAGACTAATTCTACTTTCTTCTTTTGAAACCCCTTCTTTTACAAGAACTGGACAAACAGTGCTATCTCATATTATTAATTTATGTTTGACCAATTTAAGTTAAAACCATTTTTAACCCATGCATTGTGCAAACCTAATACCAATTGTCAAATATTAACACAATCAAGATGATTACCTAATTTAATATATAAATTTCTCGTGTCACAGTTTTCGTTGCCGTACTCCTCCGAAACGGCTTGACCGATTTTGATGAAAATTTTTGTGCTTATACGGTATCTATGACAATCTGCCACAATCTACTTTTCATCCCCCTAAATGTTAGGGGTAGTCTACCCCTAAATTTTTTAATTACTAGGTAATTATTTATGTGGAAAAACAACGTTTGCCAGGTCAGCTAGTATATATATATAGAAAAACTACGACCAACTACATAAGTTAGAAATTTCAAACTGTCTGAACTAAAACAAATAAGGTCAGTAACACGTCTAACGCAACGAATTACAATGTTAAATCGATAAAATTACAATTAATGATTTAAGAGGCATAATTTTTATGTTAGTGTAAAACAATGAAGTAGGTAATGAAAGAAATACATATATTTAAACAACATATTAAAAACATTGCAAATTCTTTTTAACTCTAAGCGCCGTATCTGTGCTGTGTATTTCACGATAAACTATTATGACGTCATAAGGTGATATCTCGTACAAAATTTATAAAAATTGTCGTTTTCGAATACAAAAAATAATTATGTGACTAGTTCTAAACTATTTTATTCTTTGTATGATTTAAAAATTGTGTCTGTCCTAAG